GGTAGAAGGCATTGGGTTGGGGGCCCCCGGAGCCTCGGGGTCTGCCCCACATCTCCAGGCTTAAATAACCGTGCGCCTTTGTTATTCGTCGGCAGCAAAGTGGTTCGTTACGCCTGATTGGTCTAATTGCTTTGAAATGGGATATATTATCTATAATTATAGAGCTCGAGGAGGAGCCGCCGGCCTCCGCTTTCATCTTCCCCAAGTGCACCCTCATGTCGAGATCACATTAATTCTGGGCCATTTTAAAGAAGGGCCCCTCGCTCTCCCGCGGATCCAGGCCCCCTCACTCCCCTGCGAACCTAAAGGCACCAGGAAGCCCCGGCCGGAGCAGACAGAGCGCAGCCGGAGGGGGAGGGGCGGGCCAGGGAGAGGCGCGGGGACTCCCCAGCGCCCGCGGGGTGATTCCCCCCCCCTCCGCACTGGGGCAGTGCCCTCGTACAAGTGGGGTCCGCTGTAGCGGAGGAATTTGCAAGAAGGAGAACATATTTTTTGCAAGCAGCTTTTTTTTCTTTCTTTCTTGGCTTTGCGTTAAAGAAGGGCACCCAAACTCTTTAAAAGGCCTCAATACTGCCCGGGTCCTGGGAAAGCAGAAAAAAAGCATTTGGCCCCGGATCTGTGCTGTGGGTCGTCGGTCAGGAGCTGAAGACTCCCTGGACTGGGGAGTCCTCGGGTCTTTCAAGCTGTGAAATCCTCCCCCAGGGTGAGGGGTGCCCTCGGTCCTCCCAGACAGCTCCCCGAACCTCCGACTCCCAGCCACTCACTCCCCGCCACAGAGGCCCAAAGACCGGGGATCGCCGAGCCGGGAGGCCCCTCCCCAGGTTCCAGGATCCCTAGGTCGCGCTTTCTGTCTCCGCCTCAACCTCCTCCCCCGCAGGACAAAATGCCTCTTCTCTCCCCCCCTCCGCCGCCCTCCTGGAGATTGGTGAATTCCCACCAAAATAAATCGTTCCGGGTAATCGGTTTTCATAGCACATTCATTCTATTAAAGAGGACTGTTTGGGACTCGCTAATTGCCCGGGGATCCCACTGAGCCGCACATTTTAAAAAATGCATGCGGGGTTCCTGGGTCGAGGCCACAAAATGCATTGGAGAAGGTGTATGTGTGTGTGTGTGTGTGTGGGGGGGGGGACATCAACAAAAAACCCGACGGAGGCGAAAGTGAGGGGCCAGCCTGCCCTCCGCGCGGCGCTTCCCAGAGAGTGACAACGGCCTTTCAGACGGGATGGCTCTAAAAATGCGTCTTTATGGGGCGTGGGGGTGGGGAGTCTTAAAACCAACACCCCGCTCCCTCTGCCGCCGAAGCCCCTCTGACAAT